TACTCTTTACTCAGGCAAAACAGAGATTTGAGTGGGAATGCTGCCATGTTTAATGCAGGATCAACTCTAATACTGCTCTTTCACAGGCAGAAAGAAGGAAATAAGTTAAGCACAGGCAAATCCCACAGGATGTCCACGCGATTGTTCCATACCCAAAAGACAGAAAGGAATCTTACATGAAGCAATTTCAGCAATATTGCTGCTGAGTGACTAATAGTTCATGGGATGGCTCCAGTAGGAAAAAAAGCCAAGAAAACATTCTTACATATGACGATGAGTGTGAGAACTTTGTATTGTGGAGTTGGGAGAGGAAACATGAGAAAAAACTTCTCAGAAACCTACTGTATTGCTTGGCAGGGTGGTAGGGGTGGTGTTGTTCAGCCTTTTCAACAGATGTCTTCAGATATTTGCCAGCAGAAGCAGGAGAAGAGCAGCTGTGCAAGGCTCTGGAAGTTAACTCCGGCCTTCACCTAATGTACCAACAACATTCTTAGTCTCAGGAGCCCTCTCTAACTCCCTCTAGGGAACCGCAAGGCAGGATCCATAGCAGAAAGCGTCTGCTGATCCTACTTCCAGGTTTGGTTGTCTGCCACCATTGAAGTAAACAAGATCTGGACTCTAATGCCAGCAGGCTCAGTTCCTGTTTCTCTACTGTTTAATGCAGATTCCATTAGAGCTCTGCTACTGGGAGCAGACTCTAAATAGACACTGTCCACACCTCAAAAGAGCATCATCTCACTCGGAAAATCCTAGTCAAAGAATTCAGCATTAAATCTCAGGCATATTAGTAAATCAAAGTTTCTGAAATTTGTTGTTAAATTAAAAACAAAAAAAAGTTGTGTGGTTTGCTCATTATAATTACTTTATAATTAACCTTCCCAGCAGTGGTGTTAGAGAGCAAATAAATCCTTTTAATCAGTTAAGCTCCTCATTTATGGATTCTAGTTCCATCTTGAACTCTGTTACACATTGATTACCTCAATTATTTTGTCAATATTGTGTGCACAATTACATTTAAAGTTCCATAAAACAGCTTTGAGAAACACTTTGTGAAAAAATCATGGAACTTCCCCCAAATCACTTTCCAAATCCAATATTCTAACTTCAAATACAAACTCGTTGATTTAAGAAATACAAAAGCAGAGAAAATAAATTATCACTTGATCTAAATCTACTGAACTAAAAAATCTGAATCCAACAGCCATTTAAGACATGCTACTGATTAAAAAAGTAGTTACCATGTTGGACTTAGAATTTACATAATCAATTCTGAAAACTTCGAATTCCTCAGATTTTAGAGGAGCGGCCATCACTCACAGAAGTTTAATAAGGCATGAAACAAAAAAGCAATTTCTTTTTCAAACACCACATTACCTTTTTTATGACCCAAAAAGTGCACAAATGGACAGGAAAAAATGAAAGTTTTTGAAAATTATCTCTGAATGCAGTCATTATTCTACTGTCTGATCAAGAGCAACTCCCAAATACTATGTGCTGCTCAAAGTTTCTTTCATTAAAAAAGAAGGAAGAATAGGAGAATTTCAGTGGTGTACGTGATTGCAGAAAACTGGCCTGTTATTAAGTAAAACAGTAGATAAAAATACAGAAAAAAAATACAGAATTTGGCATCACTAGATCAGAACAGAAGTCTAAAGTTCTGTCTTCAGAAACTGCCTGTGCCTTATAAAGACTGATGAATGAAAAACCTGATTTTCCTGAACAATTTGGCAGTGTGATACACACAAAAAGTAATAGAGACAATAATTTCCAAACCTCGTGCCCATCAGCCTGCATCCTTCAGCATTAAATGTCTCTATTAGTACTTAATTTGTCAGGTTGGAATTATGAACTTTACTTTATTGATGATTAGTTACTAAATTATTTAGCCCACAATACACTGCATTTCCATACTTTAAATAAAACTTTAGGTACATTAAATCAAAGAACTCTTGATATCAATTTAAATTTACACTAGGAATTTATTTGTTCTTCCAAAAAAGGGAAGACTTTATAATTGTAACTTTCTGGGTTAGCCATCTTCTCTTTTTAGACCGTTTTCAGGCCTTTATCAGTGTTTTATAGTTTTAGATTATGAAGACCTATAGTTGAAATATATTACATCAAAGTTTCCAATAAAAGCCTCATTTCAACCAGCTGAAAGATATGGATATGGCATAGCCCTGTGGTATACCACATCCACAGGTGTATCTGTGGTATAGGTCTGGTATAGGTCAATTATGCGTGCATAAGTCTTCTGAAACAGCTTAATGGACTCTTTTAGCTTATTAATCATAAAATTGCATATTTTATTTGTCTCTGTAAGAATATGCTTTCAGGTTGAAGAACAGTTCTTCAATAGACCCTCCCGGTATTAAGTCTTTGGCACAGTCTAACAAAGACCTCACTGTGTTTAAGTCATTATAAATTTGGGAGGGCTTCAAGATATAAAAGCAATGTAAGACCCACACTGACTCTTGACTCATTCTCTTATCATTGAAGTCTAATTTAAAATGGCCCTAATTACCTTCATATAAATTACTATTTAATGCAATATATGCACACTCAAATAAAGAGTAAAGCCAGAATGCTTTGGAACTATCAAGGCAAGAAACCAGAAACAAAAGAAGTAAATACTTACATGTGTGGAGGTTAAGAGGAGTTTGGAGATGTTACAGGTATTAAATACTGGACAGTGATTGAAAATGCTACATTCCCATGTGTCTGCTCTACACTTTTGTGGCCTTTAATGAAAATCATTGAGCTACATTTGAACACAAAGATACACTATTTAAGAATGCTTACAGTCTGCAAAACAAAGGCTGCAGGTGCAAGTAGTTTCCTTGTGTAAAGTAAGACAGTCTACAAAAACCACTTCTTGCAGTTCAGCCTTCCTTATCGTGCTTTTATCAATAAATCAAACTCCATCTCCCTCTTATGGCTTAAGAGGCTGTAACCCGTTGCATAAGCCTTGCATTCTCGCAGTCTTGCACATATGCTCAGGCGCCCTATGAAGGAGATTAGGTGTGTGTGTGTTTTAACATGCAGGTTTTGTGGGCAGATTTCCTGTTTTTGCTTCTCATTCAGCTAACAGCAATCTTCACATTGTGTTTATTTTACCCTTTCTGTTTTGCAGCACCACAGGCCTCCACTAGGTCATCACAGTTAACATGGTTAACAAAGACTTAAACTTGCAAGCAGAGAGCTTGCAAAAGCATCAAATATACAAACAAGTATATCAAAACAAATACACAAAAATAGTGCAGATTCATAAAACAGTGAGTGTTTTATAGCAATTCCTTTCAGGTAGTATCTCTTCAGAGATTCATAAATCATCAGTTTACATTGAATTTGAAATAAACATGAGCACAATAGATAGAATACAGTATTATGAAGATTTTCCTTAAAACTAAGTAAGTTACACACACTGTTTTAAATGGCAGCAGACTTACACTGCTAGTTATAATCTGAATAGACAGAAGAGTCTAAAATTTCAACACCAATTCTGATGGCAGAGCTTTTGTTGCCCTCCTGTAAGAGAGACAATGTAGGTGCTAATTCTGTTTTTTAAGACAAAGCTCCCTAAAGGACCTTCAAGTTGACCAACTGAAAGTCTGCACATTCCAAATTACCATTCACTTCTGATAATTTTGCTCAGTTTTAGCAGATGGAGATGAGAACAGCTGTTTAAAAACTGGAAGTAATCTTACTTATTTGGATTTACACACACACGCAAAAACCACTACACCTATTCATGAGCTATAGGCATTTTGAATACTTGAAAATTCAACACAATCAAGGCCCATAAATAGTTAAAGTGTAAAGTATAATAAAAGAACTATCCAAACAGCTATGGAAACTGAGCAACTCATAAAAAAAAATAAAAGATTTCCAAACGATTTCCAAATTCCAAAGGGAATAGATTTTTTTTTTTCAGTGCCAGAAGCATACAACATGAAGAACACAGTAGTTAACCTATTTGAGACATGGCATAAGGAGAAAAGCATATTCCAAAAGTCCTAATATGCTGAAGAACAACATATTTGTAAACTGTATTCTCATACTTTCGTATATACTAGATTGGGGTAACAGTTCAAACATCCCCTCTGATCTTATCTCTGTGGCTGTAACAGAAACAACTTTTTAAGCAGACACCTAGTCAGTAGCTGCTGTACAAGCCAATACTAATACTCTAGGGCATCTCCCAGAACCCCACAGACAGCATAGTTCAAAGAACTCAAGCTAATATTACCATACTGTCATAATTCACTGCACAAACAGATACTGCACTACCATCATCATTTCAATGCTTTTCATGCATAGCCCTCTATACTCTTTTACTTGTAGTGACAAAAGACATTGAAGCCATCTGACAGTCTTGTTTAATTATGGGGGTGAAAAAAAAAAGTCTCTGCACAAAGCATGGATGCATTTTTTTTAACAACTGGTTATATTAATGGTTTCAGTGGTTCTGATCAATGTTTTTGAATTGCCCAAGCATCTGGCCAAATTCAAAAGGAGAAAGATTGCTAAAAAATCCTAGATGTTTTAGGAAGGAGCTCATTATTTTCAGATCTGCCAGACTTCATTATTTACATGGCTGTTACCCTACCCTCTATGCTATTTAAATTATATTTTTTATCTCCATAGTCTTGCCCAAAAGACGACATGTAGCACTTACATTGTCCTCTGGTTTGATGACTTACAGTTATCTCTTGAATTCAGACTAGTTTTTCATTAATTTATCACTATAATGATCATAAAAAGTTTTTGTACATAAAAGTGAAATTGAAAAGTTACTGTGCTAATGCATTTCAATTGTTTGCAGGCTAAATGAGTGGATATTTATTACCAAACATACTTAGCATAAATGCAATCCATTACAATAATAATGGAAATATCATACTCCTTTTAACATTTTACTTGAGCTTTTTTCTGCCTGCTAGGAATTCTAGTTGAGCTTCATTGTGCCAAGGACAGACCAGTCTTTTCCAGACACTTACCCTCTGACAGCATGAATAAGTCTCAGTGATGGATAGGCGGTTCGCACTTTCAATTTATTCTTAAGGATTAATGCATTAACCCACTCCACATGCTTCTCTCCGCCTTTGACCATGAAAGCAGGGATCCAAAGGACACTGTCATTCAGCATGGATAGTCTATGCACAAATTTTGTTCTGTCACTCTCATTCCGAAAGCCTCCAAATGCTCTTTGTACAACTGATGGGTTCATGGTAATAAAATCAGATTTAGTTCCCACATCGGCAGCAAACTCCACCACAGGAGCTAGATTGCACCTGAAGAGGAAGAAATTAATGGGAAAATGAAAATAAATATGAAACATTAACTCAGAAAAATGTGTGCATGAAGGGAAAACTGAAAATGAACATGCAAGCCCATTTCAATTTAATGTGAGAAAAAAATAGCAGTGATAATAGGTGTGATAACACGTAGCATTTTACCCAACTTGAACACTCATTAGGCAAATTTCTTAAAAACATTACATGCACATAATGCTGAGAGGAAAAAAAGTTCTTCATACAGTTGAAACCCATGTCACCACGCCTTAAAATGCATCAACAGCTAGAGTAGCCCTTATGAATAAGAGTATGCTTTCTAACACCTATTACCTTTCATTAGTATTCATTTGTCATCACGTTACCAACAGCTCACACTCTTAAACTAAGCCATGCCAGCCAATTAAGTTATAATTTGTACAGTTTGGTCATTGCATATTTTTTACAATACAGTATTTAAATATGATTTACAAATGAACTTTACTCCATGTTTTGATATTTTGCTTTTTTGATATTATCAATGCAGCTGATTGGATGTTTTGAAATTTAGTATTTTCATTTCATTTAGCAGTGAAATTTTTGGAAAAAAGTATTACTCTTTCCATTTTTCCTTGAGGTATCATTTTCAAACCTTGTTTAATTTTGCAGTAGCTTTGTGCTTTTTCCTTTTTTTTTGCTTGAGAAAAAGGTCTCACCATTGTTATTTACCTCAGTTATAAAAATACACACATATGTATAACCACACAGGTGCAGCATTCTCCATGGGCAGCATTGGATGCAAGGTGACAAAATGCAATTCAGAAATCAATTGTGATTTCAGTGACCAGTATGATTTGACTGAAACAAATCACCTCCATGACATCCTCAGTGAATTAGCCTGTAGCTGGTATGTCCCAAACAAGTATCTTGACACAACAGTATTTTCACAATTTAACAAACTGCTCTGTTGAGGTGAAGAAACCTAAGAAGCGATGTTGGAACTAGGTCCTTCAAAACATTTACATGTTATTGTATTCCTAATATAAATATTATTAGTATTCTATTAGTTCTGCAATTCTTTGTTGGTACAGTAAACGTTTTACTTAAGCTTATCCCCTAGCATCTTCTAACGGCCAGATCTCCAGTGTCATATAAAAATAGCTGAAGTCAGAAGCGCAATATTAACACCAACTGATGACCTAGTCCTGACTGATAATACTAATTCCACAAAACATAATTTTCTTTCTGTAATTATCAGCTAAAGAAGTGGCCCTATCTTCTTCAGAAAGAAATGTTTTGAAGACCATAAAGCCTATACATTCTTAGGAGATAAAGCCGTCCAAGTTTCTGATGACATGTGGGCAGATGTAAGCTTTCTTAGGAAACAGATTTACATTCTTCACTACCTTTATACATCTATTCCACAAACCATCTGCATGCATTACAGGGTGCTAAGAATAATATCTTTTAGAAAATTGTAGTTAGAGATCAAGAAAAACTCCCACTGATTTGAAAATTGTTTCTAAAAGCCTTAATGCATGAACCTATAACCTGGAATTGTCAAAAGTTTGGTGTTGCATAAATCTAAAAACAACAACAACAACAACAAAAAATCAACCCAAAGACTTAAAATCAACCAATCAAGTTCACCAAATTACTTCTGCTTCTGAAAATACCTTTTTATAAGGCAGACTGCACAACATAATTAAGGATCCTCGCACAACAGATTTTTTTCAGTAGTCACACGTATATGCACATGATGACATCTATTAATTACAAACATAAGACAGAGTTTGACATCACAAATGCTGCTGTGTGTCCAACTTTGAGAAACACCTATGTTGAGAAACACTACCTTGCTTAAAAAGCTGTACAACATATGCAAAATGTGAACACGTAACATAGGCCTTATGGTTTTAATGATTCCATGACTTTTGACAGCTCCTTTCTGATCTGCCAACAGCATCAGTGCCTAAATCTTAAAAGTGTGTGCAGCTTGAAACAAGTATACAAATGTAATTTCACCTAGATCCTGAAAAAAAAATTGTCACAGGCATACCAAATATAAGGTCTACCTACCTCGCATGTCATTACTGCTTCATCAGTACTATACTTAACATCAAATACTGTATTTTAGAAAGGTATATGGCATATGCAATGTGAATTCTTAACATTGCATATTCAGATTTTTCAAGCATATCTTCAGAAAGTAATGAGCAATCCAAATACACTCTGTAACAATGGAGTTGTCTGTGAACAGCTATTTAGAATATTAGTCATATTTTTCTAGCTTTAGTGTCTCAAATTAGACACCTGATTATAATATTAGAGTCAGGTAAGGCATTTTGCTTTCCAAATGCTGAGCACCTCTTAAACTTTGATCTTTTAAAAATTCAGTTATATAAATATGGATTAGTAGCAGTGCTGAAGTTTGAAATAATGTGATTAAGTACATCTGCATTTTGAAAGGCTCTGTTTTTGAAGAAGTAACTAGATGCTGTTAGCAGTACACTGCTAAGGTTGTTATTTTAGTAGAATACGAATGTAAGAGAAGGTCTACACAAATTTCTAGCTCTGTTAAGGAAATAAACGTTACTAAATTAGTTGTAGTTGACGAAGTTATGCAAGTATTATCCTCATTAAGCTGCCTCTCATTTTCTTAGAGGTTACTTCCTTCAAAGAATAATACTAGTGCTCATTAAATTACAAGTGTTAATATTGAATAATTACTCTATATTTATCCACAAAGTTGGAAAATATAAAACACCTGCTAAAATTTATCAATTAAAACCAATGCATTCTTTAGTAGGGAATAAATGGAGCAGTTATGTCAGAAGTGTTTCTATATGAGTTCTAGACCTTATGCACTAGTGAAGAACTGTAAGACTTAACCTAAACTGATAGGACCAGATAATTTATATTTCCAGATGAGTTCAAGAAAATTTTATAGGGCTAATAAAACTAGCTATTGAGTAGTTGAATATAGATCTGAGTATATATAAATAGTTTTTGTTACCTGTTATCTGTTTCAGAGCTTTTATCTTAACCTCTAATGCATCTTTATGCTTTGCCACAGTTTCATACAGTTGTTGGAATCTTAAAATTTATTTTGTTAGCAGACGTCAATAATCTCCCATCAATTCTTAGGACTCTTTCAAGAGAACTTTGTATTCAGAGATACACATAAACATATACTTATTTTAAGTCAAATTAAGAATCCTATTAACTGAACAACTTTGAAATAGGCAATGAAATACCCTTCTCTTGTAAAATACTTTAATTCTAGCTCATTTGTTGTAAGGCACAGAATACCGACTATATTCACAACTGTGATGAGGAGGTGACGGGGACTCTGCACCACAAGCTTTACCATTACATGCCTAGGAATTTGTACACAACAAATGAAATCTTACTTTTTTTTTTTTCTTTAAGTTGCCATTGCTATATCAAATCCAGCAGGAAGAATAAATACAAGACTGCATACTGAGTTTCCTCTTTTTCACATGCCACAGTACTGGTACCTTGCAACTACAGGACTGGTTAATATTTTACTCCAAAACACAATTTTCTGCAACATACGATCATCTTCCATTCATTCTAAAAAAAATTCAGTATTGCCTTCATGTTAGCCAGCCTGCAAGCAAGCAGGCTGAGCAGGACAAACCTGCTACAACGTTACTAACACTGAGGCTATGAGAACAGGTTGGAATAAAGTCATATAGCACTGAGCAATTAAGCAAACAAATCACTGAGAATACACATCACGTTACATAAAGGTTTGTAAAGCTTCTTCTCCTGAGCCCAAGTCACTGATGGTTTCCAGAGAAAATAATGAAATGCAGCTTGCCCCAGCAAAAATAGCTTTGCAAAATAATGTTTTTCATTAGTTCCCTTGGTTTCTTTTTTTTCCCCCATAAAAAAAACACTGTTAAGTGTATTCTTTAAAACTGACAAGCTTATAGTTTTGGTTTTGGTCTTTTTTTTATATAATTTTGTTTAATCAGAAGCTCCTTCTTTTTTCCCCTGCACTAAACTAGCAAGTAGAGTCACTATTTTCTTCCTTACTTCTTCTGAATAACCTCTACAGTATAAATGTTCAGAAACCAGTTTAATGAGACAAAGATTGGTACATTTGGGAGAGGGGGATAGGAAAAACACTAAGTAAGTGGGAAACGTTCACAATTTGTGTAGTATCATAGGCAATAATATGCATGACATCTTAAATTAATGCTGCATTTCCTGTTCTTCCCATGACATCAGCCCAGGCCACATCCAAAACTTCAGTGCAGCCATTTCAACAGGGTAGTTACTCTAAACTTACTATCAGGCATCAGTTACACTATGTAGGTAATCAGTAAGTTTACGGGCCACCTAATTTACATAGTATTAATGTATAATCATGATACTGAAAGGCAAATTTATATATAAAATATTCATAGTAAAAATGCAGAGGTTCCCACCCACAAGCTTTCAATGTGATAGCAGAAGACTTTCCACAGCAACATGCACTGCGATGCTATCGCTAAAATGAGATCTGGGGTAAAAGGGAAAAATTAGTTCAGGTCTGAAGTATCACATGGTATTTGGGTACCTGCAGAATAACTGAGATCCTAAGATAAACAGACCAAAAATTCTCAGTCACTGAAAACCTGCTTCTTCCACAACTGTCTGTTGCAAATATTAGTTACAGTGGGGTATGTTAAGAAAAAGCGTGGGGAAAAAAAGAACCAAACTGCCAATGTCTGGAGTTGCATCCCATGAGGGAAGACTGAAGAATGGAGTAAATGCTGCTAAGTCACACATATCAAAGCAGTAAGTCTGGATTTGCTGTGATGCCTTTATGGCCAAGACACATACATAACATACTTAGTCTTTTAGAGAGCAGAGCTTAACAAAGAAAATAATGAAAACATATTGACAAAAATACACTCAAATGAGAAGTCAGTTATTCCACAGAGATTCAGCTGAGCTTGCTTGGTCACAAGTAAACATACAGCTCATGTTTATGCACACAAATGTCC